GCTCAAATATTGTTATTGGCTCCCCAAACATAGATTGCAAGTGCAGGGCGTTTGCAAATGTTCATTTGTATGGTGGAATAGTACCATGAGGATTAGTGCGGTGAATTTTGAAAAAAGTAGTGCTTGCAGTTCATTTTGTTTTTCAACCAGCTGTCAAAATTCTGTGTAACAGGAATGTGCGTGAATCACACCGGAACAGGCACATTTCGGTGTGAACTGGCCTTTACTTTGTATTAGCCTCACTGCACCTATACACTATGCATTTTCCCACATGGGACTTATTTCTAAAGTAGCGAATGTTACTGTAACCAAACATTTACTGCTGGTGAATCAATCACTGTCATTTAAAACACATGTAGCAATAACAATTTTTGGAAGAATGATTAACTACTTTATAAATATGCCATTATAATGTATAGCAATCTACTAAAGAGAATACAGTTGGACTGCATGCACACTAAACGACACTATATTTAACAAAGGATTATGAAATCGAAGTATCATTACCTTCTTTGTTACTATAGTCCTAAATCCAGCATTGGAAACAATTGGGTGATTAAAAGATTACAGTACAATTTAAATCAACAATCACTAAATTCAGAAGAAATGAAAAGATGTAATGATTACAAGTTGCATTTTTCCACTTCAAACTTGCATGGTATTGTATCGTTGTAATTGTTGACCTTCCCTTTAATCTATTGAAGCAAACTTGAATTAGCCGCATTGTTCATGCTAAAGTCTAATTGCTATTCATGGTAAATATATTCTTGTTCCCTGAATAACTTTCTAATCTATATTTATCTTGATTGTAATATCCACATACGTTACATGACACAGTTTCCCATTTTCTTGAGAAATAAGGGATTTTAGAGCACGCAGCTCAATTCTTTTAGGTAGGTGTAAAAGCAGTGAAAATGAGAGCACTATGAGTGACTCATTCTAGGACTTCATGACCTTGAATTATTACTCAAGTATGTCCACCAATGAGCAACATGTCCTCCACCATTCTCTGTGTATGAATGTTTTTTTCTGCATCACATAATGCAGATTTTTTTCATATGCTTCCATGTTTTATTCCCGTGTGCTCTTCAATCTGTGCTCCATATTCCTTTGTATCCCTTGTGTCCTTGTTTAGCTGTCCTCTTCATCAGAATTTTGACACTTACATCTCCTGTTCCCTAGGATACTGTACTGCCCTTACCGCTTTACAAGGCTAACCGTGTCACATTGCAATATTGGTCAAAGCATGTAAAGCAGCTTGCATGTATAATGAAAGTTAACAACCAACATAATAAACACCCTTTCTATCAATGGGTTAACTGAGTCTAAAGACAGAGATGCCAGTTTTTTATATTTAAAGGGCTTTTCTATCAGCAAATATATTTGATCTCAAGGTAGGCTGCCCTTTAATACAGGTGCAAGTTAATGTTTGATAATTGTTTCCATGTTGCTAATGACTTTATCATTTTGTGAATGACTGACTACTCAACTGCCATTCAATTGCGTACTGCACTATTTTAAATTACACATGAAAAGACCAATAAACATGCAGGCAGCTAAAGTGAACCTGAGCTTTTCTCAGGCAGAGCAATGCAACAAGTTGATTTTAATGTCCGGCGCTGCTTCTGAAAATACCCATCTTCCCTTTGTTTCCCTATTGATTCTTTCACCACTTGGAGTGAAAAGAAGTACTCTGTGTGATTTCCTCATCTTTCTCCCATGTAACAGCACTGGTGTTTGGAAATTGGCCACTCAGCCACCCAGCAACATCACTTGGGAGCAAAGAGAGAGTTGTTAGACCTGTGTAATTTTCATTAAAGAGTGATTCAGATTTTAAACATAGATGAGGTATCTCTCATGGAGCACCTACCTCCTTGGAAGGGCAAATTGCAGGTTTGCTTTAATAAGAGGCTTATTTTAGGCAGCTATTGTGTCACCCCCCCTGCCATCTTCCATGTCTGTCAGTTGCTTACAACTGGTTGGCTCTGAGGAACAGGCAAGTGTAACGGAACTGACCAAGACAATGCTTGAGTACTTCCGTTAGAATACTGCTTCCCTGTCTGAACACCGACAACAGACACCACAGCCGACCATATTAGACTAGACGACACCAGTCTGCCTGAACATGGAACTCTTTATTTTAAAATCAGATGGGCTTTTTATACAATACACACTGAGACTGATCACATGATCATATGCAAACGCAGCTATATACAGAAATAGACTTAACAATCTAAGCAGTAAGTTAATTAGGTTAGCTAGCTGGGTGACTGAAACAAAAGGTGAATGGGAATTCACACCTAGACAATTTTGATGAATTAGGATCTCACTACAGACGCATTTCAAAGGACTTGCTGTATTAGCAAATATATTTGATCTCAAGGTAAGCTGCCCTTTAAAACAGGTGCCAGTTAAGGTTTGATAATTGTTTCCATGTTGCTGATGACTTTATCATTTTGTGAATGATGGGAGTCACTTTGGGTGGGGGGCTCATGGAACCCAGCTTACTTTGCAGAGGTTGGGAGACCCGTCTCAGCTCCCCATATCCCTCTTATGTGCAAGTCACCCTGTGTCTCTTAGGGGCACAGGGTGACTAATGGTCGCTGAGAATGCGGCTGGAATTACTTCAGATAGGACAGTAATATTTATCAGCCATATTAAGGCTATTCCTGGTTGTTGATTCTGAACTAAACATGTGCATTAATGGAGCCAGACCGTCTGCTCTGTAGTGAGATCCTAATTCATCAAACCATTGTCTAGGTGTGAATTCCCATTCACCTTTTGTTTCGGTCACCCAGCTAGCTAACCTAATTAGCTTACTGCTTAGAGTGTTAAGTCTATTTCTGTATATAGCTACTTTTGCATATGATCATGTGATCAGTCTCAGTGTGTATTGTATAAAAAGCCAGTCTGAGTTTAAAATAAAGAGTTCCATGTTCAGACAGACTGGTGTCGTCTAGTCTAATATGGTCGCTGTGGTGTCTGTTGTCGGTGTTTGGACAGGGAAGCGGTATTCTAACGGAAGTACTCAAGCGCAGTCTGGGTCAGTTCTGTTACACTTGCATGTTCCTCAGAGCCAACCAGTTGTAAGCAACTGACAACCATGGAAGCTGGCAGGGGGTGACACAATAACTGCCTAAAATAAGCCTCTTATTAAAGCAAACCTGCAATTTGCCCTCCCCAGGAGGTAGGTGCTCCATGAGAGATACCTCATCTATGTTTAAAATCTGAATCATTCTTTAATGGAAATTACACAGGTCTAACGACTCTCTCCTTGCTCCCAAGTGATGTTGCTGGGTGGCTGAGTGGCCAATTTCCAAACACCAGTGCTGTTACATGGGAGAAAGATGAGGAAATCACACAGAGTACTTTTTTTCACTCCAAGTTGTGAAAGAATCAATAAGGAAACAAAGGGAAGATGGGTATTTTCAGAAGTAGTACCGGACATTAAAATCAACTTTATGCATTGCTCTGCCTGGGAAAAGCTCAGGTTCACTTTAGCTGCGTGCATGTTTATTGGTCTTTTCATGTGTAATTTAAATTGGTGCAGTACGCAATTGAATGGCAGTTGAGTAGTCAGTCATTCACAAAATGATAAAGTCATCAGCAACATGGAAACAATTATCAAACATTAACTTGCACCTGTTTTAAAAGGCAGCCTACCTTGAGATCAAATATATTTGCTGATACAGCAAGTCCTCGAAATGCGCCATCCTGTTGGGGGTCCAGAGTTCCCATTACGGACAGACACGTAGTGTGGATTGGACAGAGCTGTTCTTTCACAACGTGCCTTTGACTGTATTGTTATTTTGTGAGTACAATACCTACTTTTATTATTTAATAAATAAATTTTTTAAGGTAATGCACTAGGCCGGTGCGCCCCTGTTTGTTTTTCTCCACTCAATTGCTTATAACTGCCTGTGCTCACTTCAACCATCTGAATTCAAAATAATATGCATTAAAAAAAATCCAATCTGCAAAAAAAGTCTTGAAAACCACTATTTGATTTACATTCACAAGAATGATCCTACAAAATGATTTTCAGATGAAATAAAACTCCAGTTCTCTTGAACTCTTTAATTCCCAAGATATCTCTATCATGCTGGAAATGTCAAAACAATATTAGGACATATATTCACCTATGATATCACTGTCCATTAGTAGCTTTTAGTGTAAAGTCAACATCTTTATCAAAATCATTACAAAACAAGATGTTAATGTCACGGTGTGCCTTCACCCTCCCCCTTCTTCCCCCTTGCCGCGTCCTCATCCTACACAGGCTCGGAAGCCAGGCTGTGCAGCATGGGGGGAGGGGACCCCCGCCAGGAGACCCCAGCGGCAGGCCACCATGGTGTCTCTGCGTACCCCCGGCGGGCACAGAGTGAGCACGAGGCGTTCCTGCACTCTGCGCCCACCGAAGACAAAGGCCGCGCTCCCTCAGCGCAGCCAGAGTCAAGGGGTCATGCCTCGTTGCCCTGGCAATGTGGCGCTGGGCCGGCCATTGCCGGAGCAACCCGGGAGCTTTAAAAGGCCGGAGCGAGAGCCGGCCGGTCTCTTCCTCCCGCTGCTGTCCTTGGGGCCACTGCTGTCATGGGAGGTCCGGGTGGGGACCGGGCCTCCGCAGCCATCTCCGCTGAGCGCTCTGCATGAGCCCCCCTCCTCAAAGGTCAGACCCCACAGCCATGACTCCCGCTGCTGTTCCTGGCCGCAGCGAGTGCCCCTGCCTGCTGATCGCTGGGCCCCTGGAGAAGCTGGCCACTGTGAGGGCCCCTACCTGCTGGTCGCTGGGCCCCTGGAGAAGCTGGCCGCTGTGAGGGACCCTGCCTGTTGATCACTGGGCCCCTGGAGAAGCGGTCCGCTGGGAGGGCCCCTGCCTGCTGATCACTGGGCCCCTGGAGAAGTGGGCCGCTGGGAGGGCCCTTCCTACTAATCACTGCTGTCCCTAAAAAAGCTGGCCACAGTGAGGGTCGCTGTCTGTTGCTGAGGGTCCCTGGGAAGCCGTTCCTGCCTGCTGACCGCTTTGTCCCTGGAAGCTGCCTGCTGCTAAGCACCTGCAAGATGCCTATCGTAAGTGTCCCTAGAAGCCATGAAATGCTGTGCGCACAGACCACCCGTGTCCTGAACTGTCCCTGGTGTGCGCACCGACCACCCATGTCCTGAACTGTCCCTGTTGTGTGCACTGACCACCCGTGTCCTGAACTGGCCCTGGTGTGCGCACCGACCACCCGTGTCCTGAACTGTCCCTGGTGTGCGCACAGGCCACCCTTGTCCTGAACTGTCCCTGTTGTGCGCACCGACCATCCTTATCCTTAACAGTACCTGTTGTGCGCACTAACCACCCGTGTCCTGAACTGTCCCTGCTCTGCGCACCAACCACCCGTGTCCTGAACTGTCCCTGTTGTGCGCACCGACCACCCGTGTCCTGAACTGTCCCTGTTGTGCGCACCGACCACCCGTGTCCTGGACGGGCCCTGGTGTGCGTACCGACCACTCGTGCCCTGAACTGTCCCTGGTGTGCGCACCGACCACCCGTGTCATGAACTGTCCCTGTTGTGTGCACAGACCACCCGTGTCCTGAACTGTCTCTGGTGTGTGCACCGACCACCCATGTCCTGAACTGTCTCTGGTGTGCGCACAGGCCACCCGTGTCCTGAACTGTCCCTGTTGTGAGCACCGACCACCCGTGTCCTGAACTGTCCGTGTTGTGTGCACCAACCACCCGTGTCCTGAACTGTCCCTGTTGTGTGCACCGACCACCCGTGTCCTGAACTGTCCCTGCTGCACGCCCAGACTAACCTTACTTGAACCGCCCCATGGCGTGCCCGGAGTATAGCTACCTGTGATGCCCCTGAGTGCTTGAGCCATCGCTACCCGTTCAATCCCCGTGAGCCTGATGTCATCCCTAGCACACTGTGTTGAGGCCAGACTCCACAGCCAGAGTCCTGTTGAATCCCCATGAGCCTGATGTTGCTCCTAGTATGCTGTGTGGGAGCTGTGTTGAGGGCAGCCTCCACAGCCAGAGTCCCGTTGAATCCCCGTGAGCCTGATGTTACCCCTAGTATGCTGTGTGGGAGCTGTGTTGAGGGCAGCCTCCACAGCCAGAATCCCATTGAATCCCCATGAGCCTGATGTTGCCCCTAGTATGCTGTGTGGGAGCTGTGTTGAGGGCAGCCTCCACAGCCAGAGTCCCGTTGAGCCTGATGTTGCCCCTAGTATGCTGCGTGGGAGCTGTGTTGAGGGCAGCCTCCACAGCCAGAGTCCCGTTGAGCCTGATGTTGCCCCTAGTATGCTGTGTGGGAGCTGTGTTGACGGCAGCCTCCACAGCCAGATTCCCATTGAATCCCCATGAGCCTGATGTTGCCCCTAGTATGCTGTGTGGGAGCTGTGTTGAGGACAGCCTCCACAGCCAGAGTCCCGTTGAGCCTGATGTTGCCCCTAGTATGCTGCGTGGGAGTTGTGTTGAGGGCAGCCTCCACAGCCAGAGTCCCGTTGAATCCCCGTGAGCCTGATGTTGCCCCTAGTATGCTGTGTGGGAGCTGTGTTGAGGGCAGCCTCCACAGCCAGAATCCCATTGAATCCCCATGAGCCTGATGTTGCCCCTAGTATGCTGTGTGGGAGCTGTGTTCAGGTCAGCCTCCACAGCCAGAGTTCCATTGAGCCTGATGTTGCCCCTAGTATGCTGTGTGGGAGCTGTGTTCAGGTCAGCCTCCACAGCCAGAGTTCCATTGAGCCTGATGTTGCCCCTAGTATGCTATGTGGGAGCTGTGTTGAGGGCAGCCTCCACAGCCAGAGTCCCGTTGAGCCTGATGTTGCCCCTAGTATGCTGTGTGGGGAGTTGTGTTGAGGGCAGCCTCCACAGCCAGAGTCCCGTTAAATCCCCGTGAGCCTCATGTTACCCCTAGTATGCTGTGTGGGAGCTGTGTTGAGGGCAGCCTCCACAGCCAGAGTCCCGTTGAATCCCTGTAAGCCTGATGTTGCCCCTAGTATGCTGTGTGGGAGCTGTGTTGAGGGCAGCCTCCACAGCCAGAGTCCCATTGAATCCCTGTAAGCCTGATGTTGCCCCTAGTATGCTGTGTGGGAGCTGTGTTGAGGGCAGCCTCCACAGCCAGAGTCCCTTTGAGCCTGATGTTGCCCCTAGTATGCTGTGTGGGAGCTGTGTTAATGGCAGCCTCCACAGCCAGAGTCCTATTGAATCCCCATGAGCCTGCTGTTGCCCCTAGTATGCTGTGTGGGAGTTGTGTTGAGGGCAGCCTCCACAGCCAGAGTCCCATTGAGCCTGATGTTGCCCCTAGTATGCTGGGTGGGAGCTGTGTTGAGGGTAGCCTCCACAGCCAGAGTCCCATTGAGCCTGATGTTGCCCCTAGTATGCTGTGTGGGAGCTGTGTTAATGGCAGCCTCCACAGCCAGAGTCCTATTGAATCCCCATGAGCCTGCTGTTGCCCCTAGTATGCTGTGTGGGAGCTGTGTTGAGGGCAGCCTCCACAGCCAGAGTCCCGTTGAGCCTGATGTTGCCCCTAGTATGCTGTGTGGGGGAGCTGTGTTGATGGCAGCCTCCACAGCCAGAGTCCCGTTGAATCCCCGTGAGCCTGATGTTGCCCCTAGTATGCTGGGTGGGAGCTGTGTTGAGGGCAGCCTCCACAGCCAGAGTCCCATTGAGCCTGATGTTGCCCCTAGTATGCTGGGTGGGAGCTGTGTTGAGGGTAGCCTCCACAGCCAGAGTCCCATTGAGCCTGATGTTGCCCCTAGTATGCTGGGTGGGAGCTGTGTTGAGGGCCGACTCCCCAGTCAGAGTCCCGTTGAATCCCCGTGAGCCTGATGTTGCCCCTAGTATGCTGTGTGGGAGCTGTGTTGAGGGCAGCCTCCAAGGTCCCATTGAGTCCCCGTGAGCCCACTTACCGTGGGTGTCCCTACAAGCCGCATGTCGGAGTGCCATGAACTGTCCTGATTGAGAGTCCTGCATAGTTCAATAAAGCTTTGTGTGTTCCCCATCTTCTTCATGTGTTCTGTCCTGCCTACGCTCCCGTCACAGTTAACCTCACGTCTGAACAGGTTCTGTTGAATCAGTGGAAATTACCCATTACAAACATAATACCCTATTTAATAGCTGCCACTAATAAAATTATTCAAACGTATTTAAAAATCCCAACTTCTCTATCCATATAAAAAAGATTTTTTTAAATAAACCAATTCAAACTTTTTGAATACAAAAAAGAAATTAATGCTAAAAATGAACACCAGTCTTTTAACATCTGGTCTCTTTGGCTTAACTTCAAAACTCAAATATTTATCAAAATCTAATCATAAACACCTAACAGATTACATGGGAAACAAACAGGGGAGAGAGGGCAGCGCCTACCTTAGATTGTACACCCCTTGAGGGTTAGGGACTGATGTGAATGTACAATATATATGTAAAGCGCTGCGTAAATTGATGGCGCTATAGAAGTACCTGAAATAAATAAATAAAATAAATAAGTGTAGTATAAGGACTGTTTATTAAAAACACAAAATTGGCAACTAACATTCTTAAAAATGTTCATCAGTAAAGATGACTGTTGTTCTTTGTGTGTGTGATGTCTCCATCCCTATATGTGCTGGCTGGCTCTGTGTATCCGGATAGATGGTGGAAAGATGGCACCTTGAACTTTTGACTTCCAGGAACCACGTTGGAACACACGCTGCCGGAAGTAATGTCACAGCAGCAGGATGTAATTGTCTACGCATTTCAGAGCATACACATTTCTTTCGCAAGCCAGTGTGTATGTCAGAGAAACTGCAGTTTCTTAGCCAATTACATCTGGCTGTCATGACATTACTTCCAACAGTGTGCGTTCAAACATGGTTCCCAAAAGCCGAAAGTTCAAGGTGCCATGTTTACACCATCTATCCGGATAGACTTAGCCAACTGGCGCACGGAGGAAAGGAGATGTCACACAAAACAGTGGTCTTCTTTGTTGATGAGCCTGTTGACCTTTTTAACAATGTGAATTGCCAATTTTGTGTTTTTAATTAACAGTCCTTATGCTACACTTAGCAGGCACTTCCCTCTCTCCTGTTTTTATAACTGCTTCCCTGCCATCCTATAGCAGAACTGCTGCTACAGGGCAGCAGGGCTGCGCAACATCATGCATATATGTGATTTTGCATTACCGGGTAGGGGGCATGAGCACGCACTGCCCTACCCACATCGCCATTGGCGGCTACAGCTGTCGATCACTGGGTCCCAGCCGGAGATTCCCCATCGGCATCCAGCAATTGCTGAGGAACAGTGAAAGGGGAGAGCTCTGTGTGTAAACAACACAGGTCTCTCCCCTGTCAGCATGAACAGACTGCTTTGTGTTGCTCTGCACAGCAGAGCAATACAAAGCATCTTGTCTCCCTAGTAAAACACACACAGCACATAATGTAAAACACACACAGCACACAGTTAACCCTTTGATCGCCCCGGATGTTAACCCCTTCCTGCCCAGTGTCATTAGTACAGTGTTAGTGCTTTTTATTAGCACTGATTACTGTATTAGTGTAATTGTCATGTCAGTGGCAGTTAGTCAGTTCCCCCCAGTGTCAGAATACCCGCCACAGTTCCGCAGCCCCACTATAAGTTGCTGATCACCGCCAAATTAAAATTCCAGTATATATACTGCCATTTGTAGACGCTATAACTTTCACATAAACCAATTAATTTACATGTATTGGGATTTGTTTTAGCAAAGACATGTAGCAGAATATACTTTGGAATAAATAATGACAACATTTGATTTTTTTAATTTGATTTGATTTTTACAATTTTTTACTGGATATGTTTTATAGCAAAAAGTCAAAAATATAGTTTTTTTTTAAATTGTCAGTCTTTTTTTGTTTATAAAAAACACAGAGGCAATCAAATACCACCGAAAAAAGCTCTATTTGTGGGAAAAAAGGTCATAAATTTCATTTGGGTGCAGCATTTTATGACCACGCAGTTGTCAGTTAAAATGACGTAACACTGTATCACAAAAAATGGCCTGGTCAGGAAGGGGGGTAAATCCTCTGGAGGGCAAGTGGTTAATTACAGAGATTGCTTCTGCCCTGAGAACAGGTGTCACCAGTGTTATGGATTATTGCCAGAAAATTTTATGGGCTTGGTTATAATATGATATATGTTCATGGGGTCAGCCAGATTGGATTGTGAGATTACATTTTCTTTTTATCACACAAATTACAACATAACAGACTTTCAGGCTTCAACATAACCAGTACCCTTATTCTCTAAAATGATACAGATATACCACAAGGGAACCTTAGTTTGATGTAATGGTTTACAAGATCTACCATCTAACGAATATCATTATAAATGTAATCATGAAATTTATACAGTATAACTTCTGTTACTCTCATTCATATTTATTGCAGTCTTGTTCCGCTTTTGTTTTTTTGTACACTCACTATGTCATGTAC